TGCATGGTGGTAAATACATAACTGCAGAAACACAAAGTACCCAAGGGAATTCAAGAAAGGGAAAGAAAACAAGTAACAACTGAGAACCCAAGAGGTTGCCCCTTTCCCACCTGGCCATGAACCGATCCTTTTCACCTCCTCCACCTGACTGTGCCAGCAGCTCCGTGTCCTCCTCACGTCTCACTGAAGGTGCTGGCGGGTAACGTTGGCTCACCTGGCCGGCCCTTGAGTGGGGGTTTCCATACTGAAGCGGACTAAGGACGGTTGTTCCTAAATCCTGTGCTGCACCTTGTCCTAGCCGGGTCCTCTAGAGAAACGGAAGAGGTGAGCTGGATTTTGTTCTTTTAAAGCCTTCACCTGATTGGCTTCGGTACATCAGGTTATACAATGGATGGTGATCTGCTTTACTTCATGCCAACTGACTGAATCTTAGGCTTTACAGCTACTGGACTGGTGTCTGGCCAAACCACTGGGAACCATAGCCCAGCAAAAGGGACACATAAAACAACCATCATGTCTGTTCTTCATCAAAAGAACCTTGGAATAGAGTGCCAAGTGTCAGAGGGTGGGAGACAGTAGGAGAGCCCTGGGCTGGACATCGAGCGAGCCTGGGGCACTGCCATGTCGTGATTCCAAGAAAGGGCGAGTCAGGAGAGCTCAGAGTGGATCCCCACTACGCTTCCCGCCCAGCCCTTGCGTTCCCAGAACCTTTATTCCATGGCGATGAAGTTCGTGCTGCATTTGTTTTAATTGAGCAGCTTGGTGATTCCTTTAAATTCTGCGTCCTGTCATCACTGCGGTGTTCTCTGGTGAAAGTTGGGGGGAGGGGGGGGACCATTTAGATGCAGCATCCTTTCTCTCTCCGGGACTCTCTATCCCCATCTCTCATACAAGTGGACCCCGAGCAGTGTTTGCAGAGCTGGGTACTGTTGTCTAAATGGCCCCTCCCCACTCGAAAGCTCCCCGCCAGCGCGTTGATTCCGACTAATGGAGAGAGAACTTCTAAGACAGGGTGGAACTGCCCTTGTGGGTCTCCGAGGCTGATTGTTCATGGGAACAGAGCGCCTCCTCTTTCTCCCCTTCTCAACTCAGACCCACCGACACGTCTTCTGACGTCGGGCTTTGAAGGCTCAATGCGCTCACACGCTAAGTGTCGGTGTTTCCTGTGTTCATTCAGGTTGTAAATTGAAGCCCTGTAACCCAAAGAGGCCTACCGAAACACTTCACTGCACGCCATAGTCAAGGCGCAACAGATTGGTCTCCTGACCCAAGAGCACGTGTACATAGAAGTTCACATTAATGATTCTTCGTCTGTATCCCCCAAAATATAAGAGCACCAAACAGGAAGAGCCCACAGACGGCTCATTTCCTGCAACGAATGACAGTTCTGCGCCGCCCCATAGGCCCAATCTGAGTTAGCATCCCCTTGATGCCCGTAAGTTTAGGAACATAGGTCTGTCTCGTCAACCAAACCAAAACCTATGTGGCAACCTGGCCTATCCTTGAAGCATACCTTGTTCCCGCTCACAACTTCCAGAGCCTTAGCAAAGCCCCGAGGTTGTGGCAGAGAGCGTTTGGTGGGATCGTTGCAGTGCTAGCTTAACCTTCTAACGTAGCCCCCACTGCTGGGCTTAATAACACTTCATTTACTTTTTTAAAAGATGACGCTAGGCTTGAGAAAAACGCACGGCACGAGGGACCCTGGGTCCTCTCTTCCACCCTGTTCCAGCACCAGACTGACCTGCTGGTTGAAGTGACAACATCCCCAGTCTCCATGGGCCATTGCTATTGACAAGTCGATTTCTGCTTCTGTTTTACCTTCACCTTCTTTCCTCTCCCCACTTCCCCCTCTACCCCCCACATCCTTCATCTTCACCTGGAAAAATCCTCCTTATCCCTCAGGACCTGGCTCCACCTTCATCTCCACCATCCTCCCCTCCTTTCCCCCACTTCTAACTCCCTTCCCCTGGGAGCTGCTTGGGACAGACTGACTCTTGACCCAAATGCCTGGACATAGCAGAAAGCCAGCAAAGCTTATGGATCCAGTAGGATTTCTGAAAGAACATGTTAATAATGTTGCCGACCATGTTGGGGAGCTCTCACTGTATTACAACCCACTCCCAAACCAGGACTTCTTACCTCATAACCACTTGGTTGGTCGCTCAAAACCACCAGCAACTCTGAGGGAGAAAGACAGGGCTTTCTACTCCTGCTTAGAGTTAAAGTCCAGAAACCCATAAGGGGTCGCTATGAGTTGGCATTGATTCGGTGGCAGTGAGATACTTCAAACTGTCTCATTTCTTCTAACTACAGGTATGTATCGAGGAGAGTACAGAGATTAAATAAGCTTAAGCATGCATAAGGCTGCCCAGCTGGGAGGAGATTGGGACCGCACCTCTCTGTGGTCAGTCGGACAGTCACCTGCATTCCAGTATGGGTGGTCTTTCTGTCTCTTCCTCTAGCAGTAGTTCACTCTCTAGTGCCTTTTAGCAAGGTCAACAGAGCCAGTCTCCTGTGGGGCCCACTGTACTGCTGGTGACCATTGTCCCAAACAAAGGTACCGCAGAGGTGAAGGCCGTTGCTGTCCATGACCTTCTTTGGTTTTAGCCATGACAAATGTGATCCAAAAGGGAGCCTTTGTGGTGCAGCAATTAAGCACTCCGCTGCGAGCTGAAAGGTTGGCAGTTCAAACCCATCGAGCGGCTCTGCAGAAGAAAGCCCTGTCTACCCACTCATGAAACAATCTCAGCCAAGAATACTCCTGGTCCCTGGGATTCAGGGTTGACTTGACAGCCCCTGACCACAACAGTGCCCCAGAGCAAATGGAAGAGCAATCAGCAGACGACTCCCGGGGCTTCTCTAAATTCTTTGGCTACATAGTTTGGTCAGAGGAAATGTGGTCAAGGATCGAATGTCTTGTAGCTACAATCCTTCCAACTTGAGTATTTCTAAAGAAATATTTTAAAAAGCATATCAACAGTCATAAAACATTTTTATATTCTCTGGCTGCATAACCTCGCTCTTGGGAATTTATTCCAAGAACATAATTGCAAAGAGGTAAAAGATCATATGGACAGATATTTCCAACATAGCGTGGTTTATATTGGAAACACCCAAACATCCAGCAAGAGGAGGAGCTGTGCTGTAAATCTTGGTACACAAACTTAGCCAAATTATACTCTGTCATTTGTAATCATGCATTAGGAATTTCACAGTACACTGAAAAAAATTCTGTGATCGTGTTAAAGGAAAATACAAAGCGTACAGAAACCCCCTTAAATGACAAAGCAGACTGCATGCTAAAAGGAAACCATGAAGAATTAGAGCAACTGCTTGACAAATTCACGATGTGAATGTTGCTCCTTTTTTATTTCCTTAATTCTTGTTGAGACATACATCTTCGTGCAATGCCAGGGACTGTTTTCTTTGTTTACACTCAAGACAAACAAACAAAAAACCTCACTGCCACTGAGCCGGCTCTGGCTTATAGCGACCCTGCATGACCGAGCAGAACTGCCCCTGTGGGTTTAGAGACCGTCACTCTTTACGCCAGTAGAAAGCTTCATCTTGTGGAGCAACAGCCTAATATGCAAACGCTATGCCGCCACCAATGTCTTTTTATGTATATGTTAACACATTTTTTCTGACTACCATTTTGCTATAAATTACAGCTTTGGCTGCACTGCCAGTTATATCGTCCATATTTTATAAACATTTGCCTTTTATTGTACGAATAGTATTCCTTTTCTGGCGCTCTGGGCTTCTCAAATCTTTACATACATCCGTCTCGCTGGGGACCCTGCCGATAGGTTGGTACCCAGAGTACAGGGGGTCTGGGGTGCGGCCTCTGATTCCTCATTTCCCACTATGCCCCAGCTGGCGTGGACGCAATGGGTCCTTGGATTGCACGTTGAGTAATGAGATCCTAGAGCTCTTGTTTGCTCAGAAAGGTGATGCTACTGACCCAGCGCCCATAGCATCATCCTGGGAGGCCAAGTTAGTCAGTCTCTCTACTTGAGAAGGTGGTGAAGTAACAGCTAATAGCTTGGCTGCTAATGAATAGGTCGGTGGTTCTAACCCAAGTAGTTCCGTGGGAGGAGGAACGTTGCAATTGGCTCCTGTAAAGACTGTTGCGATTATTTGGTGCCGTCAAGTCAGCGGTGTGTGCCCCAGAACAAAGCAGTAGCTGGCCCTGTATCATCCTCACCATCATTGTTGTGAGAGCTCGTTGCAGCAGCCACTGTGTCAATCCAGCTCCTTGAGAGGACTTGCCGACCTTCTCCTTTACCCAGCGGGATGTTCTCCGCCTGCCTGGTAACATGTCCAGACAGATTGAATGTGCATGATAAAAAGATAGAACCCCGACACACACACACCTCTCTTGGTTTTCAACGGCGTTAAATTAAGGTCTGGACACATGACTGCCTCTTGGCAGCAGCTGGTGCTTTTGAACCGCTGATCTGGCGGTTAGCAGCCCAACGCGTCACTACCATGGCTCCGTGGAAGGAAATCTTGTCCCTCGCAGTGGTTCTTCTGGGCATGGAGTTGGGAAGGAGAACAAGAAATGTGCTGAAGTTGGCGAGGGCAGCGATGGCTCGGTGGTAGAGCCCCCCTTTCCCACGGGAGATCTGCACCGTTCCATTCCCACCCAACCCTCTTCACACACAGCCACCACCCAGCAGGGGGGGCTGCCATCTCGGTGTGATGCTGACCGAGGTTCAGTGTGGCTTTCAGACAAAGGTGGACTATGGAGCGTGGCCCGGCAATCAACGTGCAAAAACCAACCATCGGAAACCAATGATCCACTCACGGGCCTGTGTTTGTTCAGGACTTGCCAGTGTTTCCTTCTGTGAGGCAGAGCTCTGCATGGAGCCACCGGCCAACCCCAGGGACGCCGACACCCACAAGTTAACACCTACTCTGTGCCGAGGGAGAATTGGGCTGTGGTCACCTGCATCTTTCAACATGCATCTCCGTCTCTCCCCATGATTTCTCCGCAGTGACAGAAGCTGGCTTCGGGGCTGACATTGGGATGGAGAAGTTCTTCAACATCAAGTGCCGCGCCTCCGGCTTGGTGCCCAACGTGGTCGTGCTGGTGGCCACAGTGCGGGCCCTGAAGATGCACGGGGGCGGGCCGAATGTAAGTCCCCCCTCTACCTTCTCATTAAAACAACAAAACCCCGGTGACAGCAGAGTGGAGTGTAGCACTGGGAACATCTGCACCTGCTGAATGATTTCAGTTTCCTAGCTTTCTCCTCTCTTCAAACCTCTTCTCCACACCACCGTGAGCAGGCACTTAGGGCAGAGTCAGTTCAAGTAAATAGCAACAGCCACATAGTTATTGCTAAGCAGTAAGTTAGAAAGGAGCATGATGTAACCACTCTCAGTCTTAGATTTCATAACCGCACAGTGGAGGGTAGAGAGGCCCTTTCTTGTTCCTGAGGAAGAACAAAAGATTATAGGAGTCATTGACGGCTCTTTTGAATGTTTGTACACATAGCTTTTCTTTTCTTCTTCTTTTGTGTTGGCACCTAATCCTTCTATGATGCACTTCAATAGTTCAATCACTCAATTGTATAAGAGAACGATACAGTCCTTACCATAATCAATTTTGTACAGGTAGCTTTTCATTCACTGCTGCTCCAGCCCATCAGAACTGATGTCCCATCTGTTTGTGTTTCTGTCGTTTCCTTTATAACAGTCATTGGACTGTTTCTAAGTGTTTTACCTAGAGAACACACACTATTTTAAGTGACTCAATAGAAGAGAAATGGAGTCCGTTTTGAAGAGTTTTAATCTTTCCCTGTCTTTTTGTACAAGGAATTTCCAGACATCTGAAATGATAATTTTTCTCTTCTGTGAAAACACGGCCATTCATTGCTTTTCCTTTCCGTGCGTTTATCTTTCTCTTCTTTTTAGTTTGGCTTTTGTTTTTCCTTGGTTCGGAATTTCAGCCAGAAGATAAGAAAATGTTACGCTGATCAATAAGTTTGAAATAAAATAACCTGAAGTGTCTCTATCGCTATATGATGGAACAATCGGATACACGCCATGTCTGAGCGCATCCTTGGTTTGCTGTGTGCAGGGAGGTCAGGCACTCGATGATTATTCCTGAGTAGGAACAGCTAATGGAATTCCGGGCGGGACACAAAGGATTAATGTGCTGCTGACCTCTAAAGGTTTGCAAGTTCCAGTTGTTGAAAAATTCAAAGCACATACTCTCTTCACAATAGAAGGAAGAAGTTTATGGAAGCAATATTATAAATGCAATTGGGCAACAGATTATAAAATGATAAACTGCTTCAAAGCAGGAATGAAAAAGGATCTTTATGTAGCAGTTTAGGAAAGCAGTTACCATTCACCATACATCAGTAACCACAGTTGTACATCGGTGGATCTGCATGTCCTAGCCTGGAACCAGCGATGTAAGCATTTTGCAAAAAATGGCTGTATTTCTATTTCATGGGTAAGGACAGCGTGTGCAAAAGCATTCTTTCTGCAAGCAGCTTCCGTGTTGCCTCTTCTGCTCTCATTCGCTCTGAATCGCCGCTTATTCACCCAGGACTGAGCTCAGCTGGGAAGTCTCTCAGTTCTTTTCTTTTACCATTTGGGTCGGAACAAAGCGAAGTTTGTCTTGCACCCAGGTAGAAGCCGCTGTGATGCTGAGCACCTAGACGGTGGGCACTGTCGCACTGTCCTCTCAGAGGTCTGTCAGGGGAAACTGGTGCTAAGAGAGATTCCAAACGAAGATAGACTCAGACAAAGGGCCAGGCTCCCAACTCCTCAAATTCTGAAAAATCTGATTTTGAAATTACACGGGGTCACCAGGAATTATAATCAGTGGAACTCCCCACTCCCCCCTCTTGGGGCAGGGTGACTTTTTAAAAGTATAAATCACAGGTTTGCCACTGTGGAACACTTAACATGCAATTTTAAAAAGCATCTTAGCAATTCTATTCCCTAGGAGACACAGAGTTTTTTTAAATGCCATTTTTCAAATCGAGACGCTGAAGATGGGGGTTTGAGCTGGTATCAGAGCTTAGATTTCAGACAGGAATCCCCGATTCTGCCCCACGTCAAAAATGGATATTAACAAGTCGTCTCTAGCATCACCATCATTTCAAATGTGACTGACACAACATGTATTATAAGGTAGGAACTTCTAGAATTCTTATTTTGCTCAAAATACTATTTGCTGCTACACTCATTTCTTGCCTTTTTTTTTTTTTTCTTTCCAAGATGGTTTTGGTCACAGTTAATTTGATAATTAGTGGTATATGCCCTGCAGAGTATACACTTTTCTTTAGACTTTGAATCTGCATACCAGGATCCATTGTCAGGAGAAAATGTGTACCTATATATCAGAAGCTCTGACCCCCAGGAAACCAAAAGGCTTTACTATTGGAATGGATCCGGCCTGACCCAGTCTTTACGAGGGTAGTTACTCAGGTGCAGAGGGATCGAGTGGCATCTTGAATTGCAAGGACTCTTAAAAGCCCCGTGATTTTACTGCCCTGCTCTCAGGTCTGTAAAAATTATCTGGTTTATAGTTGTGTTTCATTGCATCATAACGTGTGTTCCATTTTATGGCAGTAGTATTTTCATTTCACCTTAATTAATCTTGTTACCCCTCCTTATTTAAAGCCTGAGTCGTCTGTGCCAAGGAGGAGCATAGCACCCTTCAGTAAAACCAATTTCACTGTCATGGAGTTGATGCTGACTCACAGTGCGAGCCCCTGTGGGTTTCTGAGGGAGTTTACCTGTTTGCAGGAGTAGAAAGGCCAGTCTTTCCCTCTTGGAGCTGCTGGTGGTTTCGAACTGCCGACCATGCAGACCACGGCCCAAGGCTTAACCACTGTACCCTCAGGGCTCCACATCAGGCTCAGGAGGCACAGATGTGAGTGGAAGACAGAGTGAGGGACAAGGAAGCCGGGCCATGCCTTCTCTGCCACAGGGTTTCACGAGTGTCTACTTCTGACTCCTTACTCAATTCGAAGTTCCTTGAGATTAAGGATGGCTTTCTGGTTAATGGAAATGTTTTAAGTAATTGAATAATAACTGAACTTTCATCTCCTTAATCCTGTATTTCCTATTATCCATCTCTGCATCTTTCCATCTGACTGGAAATGACTCTGTACTGAAGTTTTTGACCTGTTATAATTCTTGCTTCCTGTTGATATCTTCGCACAAATAACCATGACTGTTTATCCAGCCCTCACCCCCACCCCCCATAATTTATGCAGTAGAAAATGTCGTAATCTCTGAACTTGCCTGGTTTAGCTTGATCATTTTAAATTCATATCCTGCCTTCCAAGAGACTCACCGCTCCTGGTGCAGTCCACGAACCCATCCTCAGTTTATGCTTTCCGCTGCAGATATTCTCCTTACTGCCTTGGACAGTGTCAAAGATGGACGCCTTCCCCATTAAACCCACGGTCACTCATTCGCTCACTGCCAGCCAGTCAATGCTGACTCACAACAGCGCCCTGTGGGTTCCCGAGACTCAGGGTGGCTGGTGAGTTTGAACCCCAGACCTTATGGCTAGCAGTCCAATGCTTATTCCACAGTGCCACCAGGGCTCCTCTTTATTGTTTCGGATCTTTTAAAGTATATTTTAATAAAAGTTTTACAGGCGATTCCATAAAGTGCGTAGGAACTAAATTAGAATAGCTGTGATACATGTTCTTGTTTTTTTCGTTTCTAATTTATTTCTCATCTACTTGTGGCTCCATCCTCACGGCTCTTTGGTGTTTGCTTGCCGCCACTTGTCCCGCCTTTGCTCGGTTGTGGGTTTTGCAGAACTCTGCGCGTGTGCAAGCTGTGCACATGCTTTACAATTTCTCCTAAATCTGGCGTTTCGGTCCCTTTGCTTCTCTCGGTGATTATTCACCGTAACTGCCGACAGCACCCAGACCCGTTCTGTCACAGACGTGAGTCTTTTCCAAAAGACATCTGATCTCTCGGAGCCTCTTCCGCCCTGAGGAGAGTCACCGTGTCCTAGTGGCCCAAGTGGCCCTGATGTGTTGCTGAAACTGGGGCAGAGTCTACAGATGGAAGCCATATGGAGCCAGGGACACCCAACAACAGTCAGGTCCCCATTCTGCTTCTTGTTGGATGTGTGACCTTGGGTACAACACATACCATCTCTCAACCTCAGTTTCCCCATTTGTCAGCTATCCTCCAGTTTAGCTCCAAATGAAAACAAAAAAACTTCAGCAAACATAATGGGATTACTTCAGAGTGATTTATGATCGACTTAGCATGATGATGCAGTGTATCAATTGGGTATTGGTTGTTGTTCTATCTTATGTTCCGATAACAGGCCTAAGAGCAGAAGCTCAGATTAGAATCACCCAGGGAGCCGGTGCATATTCCAGGCTCTGAGTCTCATGCTCAGAAACCCGGATTGAATTGGTCTGGTGTGGAGTCCTGGGGGCATAGTGGGAACAGGTTGGGCTGTTTGAAACCACCAGCTGCGCTGAGGGAGCAAAACGAGGCTTTCTACTCCCAGAAAGAGTGACAGTCCCGGAAACCCAGTTCTACCCTGCCCTGCAAGGTCGCTGTGCTTCGAATGCCATGCCCTGCCCTCCCGGGCAGTGAGTTTGGTTTTTCTGGGCTCGGGCAGAGGTGCGGCGACTGGTTTAACAGCACAGTAGGCCCTCCCTCCCCCGAAACAATCACACCGAGTTTTTCTTTCACTGCTTTTTCCCGTTAGAATAAGTGCTTCTGTGGGATGACTCTTATGATGCCTGTCTTCCGATTTCAGGTCACTGCGGGCGTCCCTCTTAAGAAAGAATACACAGAGGAGGTAAGTGTGGCTGTTTGTCCTCCTGTGTAAATCAAGGGTCATTCGAATCCGATCGTCATAGGATCGTCAGTGAAACTCAATAAAGGAACAAGCATTCAATGAGAGTGCTTTTCTAATAGCCCACAAGGAATTGGCGCAAACCCCCTGCTCCCCAAACAGTGATTCAACTGTGGGACCCGCAGGGGTGGCAGACAGGGACTGGGCTCTGTGGGATTTCGTGGCTGAGATCTTTAGGGAACGTCTCTGGTGGCCCAGTCCATCTGGTGGACTGCCCATGCCCACCCAGCAGTGCTGAGGAAGAAAGTCTTCGCCATCTGTAGCATAAAGATCACCGCGGAGAGGACCCAGCGGAGCATAGCTGCACATTGTCACACCCACGGTCACCAGGCCCCAAGTGAATGTGGTGGT